GCCTGGGCACACTGCTGGCTCATGTTCAGCCGGCTGTCGACCAACACCCCCAGATCCTTTTCAGCCAGGCAGCTTTCCAGCCACTCCTCCCCAAGCCTGTAGCGCTGCATGGGGTTGTTGTGACCAAAGTGCAGGACCCAGCACTTGGCCTTATTAAACCTCATACAGTTGGCCTCGGCCCGTCGGTCCAGCCTGTCCAGGTCCCTCTGCAGGGCCATCCTGCCCTCCAGCAGATCGACACTCCCACCCAGTTTGGTGTCATCTGCAAACTTACTGAGGGTGCACTCAATCCCCTCCAGATTGTTGATAAAGATATTAAACAAGGCTGGCCCCTGTAAAACAGAGCCCTGGGGGACACTGCTCATGACCGGCTGCCAACTGGACTTCACGCCATTTACCACAACTCTCTGGGCTCAGCCACCCAACCAGTTTTTTACCCAGTGAAGACTACGCCCATCCAAGCCATGAGCTGCCAGCTTCCCAAGGAGAATATTATGGGAGACAGTGTCAAAAGCTTTGCTAAAGTCCAGGTAGATGACGTCCACAGCCTTTCCATCATCTACCAGGTCACCAGGTCATAAAAGCAGATCAGCTTGGTCAAGCAGGACCTGCCTTTCATAAACCTGTGCTGGCTGGGCCTGATCCCCTGGTTGACCTGCACTTGCCTGTTGAGATGTAGTCAATAGAACCAGTGTAGTCCAGAGCACAGCATTTCTCGCACTAAAGGTTTAGGTTGGGATTTTTTTTCCTAAATTAGGTCAGAAAAATTATAACCCAGTGACTATATTCTTTGCCATGACTGTAAAGTGGACAGAATTGTCAATGAAGCCTTAAGAAGGCTTCAAAATTAGAAGCCAAGGCATCAAGTCATTACAGTTACAAAACAGTCTCTTCAAGATTTCGTTATGAACATAAACTATATCTTAAGTCTTGATCAATGAAAGTGTTAAGCCAGTTTCAGCTACTCGTAAATGTAGTTTAATAAAGACAAAAATATTAACTCATCCACCAGAGAAGTACAGGACTTCTCAGCCATTTTGGCAGGGAGGGAAAAGGAAGTTTAATTAACATGAAAATTTAAGAACTGCTGTAACGTAATAAAACCAAGAAAAATCATAGATATAAATCAGTATTTTTCTACACTGAAAAACAAAATAAATAACATGTAACATATAATGACCATATTAAATTCTTAAACTGCTCAGGTACTTTCCTCTGTAACCCATAATGCACTATGCAAAATTCCTAGATACTCTAACCAAAACACATTGTTCATAACTGCATGTACTTAGAATTATTTTACTACTTGAAAAGAGTATGGGAAGCCTCACACTGTGCTGACTCTCAATCTCTTCATGTTTCTGTTGCAAAGCTTGTGAAGCTCTAATTGAATCACCTATTCCCCACTGGGTTCTTAGCTGTTCTGATCCAGGTCCTTCAAGCCAATTGACAACCTGTCGATAAGATAAAGATGACAAAAATGAAGTAGCAAATCAATTACACAAAAACTGATAATAAAAAGAATTATGTAACATAAGCAGAAAAATTTCAAAGTAAGTACACATTTACGAAAAATAAAATCTTTTTAGGATCTGTAGAAGTCTTGTTGAGTCCATTCACATCTTCAAAAGCTTTAAGTAGAAACTACTTTTCATTAACCTTAGCCTGTCAGCTCCATGAAAGCAAGTGGCAGCTAGAAAAAGATTTGTCACATACCTACTTGTCATTTCATATCTCTGTCAATAAAAAGAGCTTAAACCACAATTTTCTTGATAATGGACCTCAGGTCTAAACAAGAATTTTTGTTGCCTAAGTGAATTACAATGTACAGCTGTATTCAACCTCACACCTGAGAGTTTTCTCCTTATTTTGTTGAATATATTAACACTGAAGTACAGGATACATACTTATTCCAAAATTAAATTTACACAACAATTTAGTATTTTACATATTTATGTCTTTTCAACTTGCTCTATTGAAATAACAGAAGCCTCTTACAGTACCTTAATGGCCACATCTCATGGATCTGCCTTTGCAGAAATCTTTGCAGGGTCATGGCAATACAGTTTTGGACTACAGTATTGCATTTCTTTTATTATGATTTTGAAACAACTTCATTTGATGTTAATATTATTCAAACCAAAGCAGAGTATCTCAAATTTTGGTTTTCTTACACATATTGGAATTATTAGATGATATCTATGGCAAAATTTTATGATAAATTTTTTAACATCTAGAAAACAGAGACAGGCCTGATGAAACCTAGTGCAAAGTCACTTGCTACTGGAGTCCTGAAGTAAGGAAATGCAGGAATACCCCCACATTCTGAACCTTAATGAAAAAGCACAGGAAGCCAGCTTCCTCTGTTTAACGTGACTTTTGTTTAAACAAAGGTGACAGAACAGCTTCACACAGTTTTTCAGGAAATATAACACAATACACAGTGTAACACCATAACTGTGAAGACAAATGAAAAAGGGACTAATTGGACCATTTTCTTAGTGCTACTAGGCTACCTTGCAACAGTAATAATGACCATCACCATTATAGAAGGTCACTCAGTTCACCCCATCTTTCAGTCATCATGTCTGTGTCTTCCCACCCCCTCTTTTCACCCTCCCACCATAAGCAGCACTGTTTCAGAGCATATATTAGTTGGTTCAAAGGCATCCTGGTTCTTCCTTACTTTTATCATTTCTAGGGCAAATTAAGACTCTACAGTTCTAGGTTCTTTTTGTTTAAAGAGGAACTTCCTATTGTGCTCAGCACCTCTGCACAGCTGTGTCTGGTTAAATACAGAATGGACCTAGAAGTGAAGGCACCCAGATGTCCCCCTAACCTCAGTGTGGCCTGGAAAACTCACATATGGAAATGACAGTTCTCATGCAAGAAGACTACTGCTTAGCAGTGCCCTCTCTGACCACGACCACCTCCCCATTACAAGTTTCCAGCAACTACTGCATTGCCTCTGAGACTGCTTAGCTTAGCACATGGCCTTTCTTGTGTGGCAGATACTTGACCTGAGGAGAGCAGAGTCACAAGGGGACCTGGAGAAAGAAGCAATGCTATTTTCATAAAATGTATTTTTAAATGGTTAATGACTAGACTACTGCAAGGCCTAGCATTAATTTTTGTGAATTAAGATTAGAAAAATAGTAATTAACACCTCTGCCTAAAGGAGGGACAAAGCTAGAATTTATCAGAACATACAGAGTTGCTCATCAGCAGTCTGTTTAGTAGAACTGCTCGTCAGAAAACATCTGGAAATCATTGCCATCTTTACACTGCAGAATGAAAGACAAAGGAAAGGGAAACAAAACTATGAAACAGAATGAAGAGTGGTGGTTAAAAGGGGAGGGTAGGATATTGAAGGCATAAGCAAAGAGAGATGGTTATGGATAAGAGGGCTTTGAGACAGCAGAAAGAACCAAACAGTTCACAGTAAGCAGAAGCAGCAAACAGTGAAGATGAAACAGGAACACAAAAGCAAGCCAGGAGTGGTTAGCCATATAAGCTATACAAAGAATGAAATAGGAATTTAGTTGTAATGAAAACCAAGAGGAAATCGAAATACTGAAAAAGTTTTTTTTAAAAAAAATCAGCAACACAAGGGGGAATCTTTCTATGTACACACTCATTCCAACTGACAATACTGCAAGCATGTTTTACTGCAACTTCTGTTTGTTTTGGCAAAATAAATTCCATGGCACTTGACCTGTATCAGTTTCCTCCAGTCCATTGTTATCTTCTTACTGTTCTCTGTTAGCCTAATTTTCTCCCGTAAACCAAAAGAAAACTAAATAAATTTCTAGATTTAGTAAGTTTTTCCCATACATTTGTATGCCATTTAGAGAGCTTTTAAATGCACTTTATAAAGCTGATTGATTAGCTTGGTAAAACAGGGAAACACATTTTTCCTGTGTACTGAGACTCAGTTCACTTACTATGCAGCATCCATAGTGTAGACGGAGCAAACGAAAAACTATTTCTAATACAAATATTGCAAAATGAGGCTGATGCCCCAGTAAACAAGTCTATTTAAATGCATTAACAATGTCAGTTTGCCAAAGTACGTTATAAATTTCATTTCAATCAGCACATCTTGTTCAACCACTGTAACTTTAACACAAGAAAAAAAACATCACCTGATTATACCCCACAGCCATACTAATATGTTCTATATAGTACTATTTTCATCTATTACATGTTTTTATTATTTCTAGCTCAAAATATCAAAAGATGACATTTACTTTTTCTATATTTTTACAACAACCTGAATGACTACATAAGGGAAAATTATTTCTTCAGTAGATTTATATTTTCACTGCTAGAAAGAACAAGACTGATTAGCTTTCATCTTTACTCATACCTGGAACACCATGAAGTGCAAGTACTTGACTTGCACTCCTCATGCATTAGAAATGTCAATGTTGGAAGGTTAAAAGCAATATCCATTCTATTTAATGCATATTCAAACTAAACAAGAAGCTTAAAAACATGTAAGTCTAACTTCAAGTAATAAACACAAGAGGAATAAATTAATTCCGTTTCCTTGATTTTCTCTGCTGAGACTGTGCTGAGAAAATGTTGAAAGTACTAATTACATGCCTGTTTCCAAAGGACCAAACCAATTCATTATGACCTTTAACACACGATTGATTAGGAAGATTTGTATTCATTCTGGTCAGCATAGCCTTGAAATACAGGGAGTTTAATCACTTTCCTTTCTTTGTCTAATGGTGTTCAGTAATAAATAATGGCTTATCTTCATTTAAGTAACAGGAACTTAAAACAACATGGGCAGGGGAAGTTTTCCAACTCTCAAGCAAAATTACAGTCAAATGTGTCTCATTTGTGAATGTTCCTCTCTGGAACAGGTCAAGCATTTGACCCTCCAACAATGTAGAGGTACACTGCCACGGTACACAACAAAGGGACAATGTGAAGGTTCTTCAGCATGATGGCAAAAGAGCATGTTTCTAATCACCTCCACTTATCAGAATAGCCTTTGGAAAGTCATTGTGGTAGCCACTATGTAAAAGAGCAAGTGAAACCAGCAGTTTGAGGAGTGAAAGGAAGCATGAAGCTCTCACCTCTGGTTCTAAGTTTTGCAGGAAACACAGTATGGGACTTGAGCTCAAACCTCTGCCTCACAGTACTCAAGAACAACTCCAAGCTTACCTGCATTACCTTCTGCTGAATCTCCTCTAGTTGTGTGCGCTTGCTACGTTGTCTGCAAACTTCCTGGTAGCGGGTATATTGCTCTCTGAGTGAGTCTAGCAGCTTCATGACCTGTGGCTGAGCAAGTAATTCATCATCCATCGGAGACCAAGATACCCCTCCATCTGAACCATTGAATCGACGTTGTTGTAACTCAGATAGTAACTCATGACCTTTAAGAATACATATAATGATATGGTTAATTTAGATTCATAAAACAAGCACAAAAGTTATTAGTAATCATGCCCACTTTTAGACCATCTGGTGGTACATTTTTGCAGCTAATGATCTTTCAGGAATTGGGCACATTTAATAATACCATTTCATGCAGAGCACTGGCCACAGTTTGTGAGGTTGTATCAGTCATAAAATAGGGTACAAATCGTGTGGTATATTTTAGATATCTAAAAGAGATACCGTGACTTTAGCATTACGTTAATCAATACTACTGTCAATATGAAGGAAACAACTGCAAAGCACAATCTGGAGTCCAAAACAACTATAAGTATTCTGGTTTACTTCAAAATACTGTGCAGAATCCAAAGTATTTCTCTCAAACAATTCATATTCTTAGATTAAATGAATGATCTAGAAGTACTAACACACTGAGCATATAATTTCTCTGTTATCTTCCAGGATTTTTATAACGTACAAAACTTTCACAGAAAGTGTGGAGCCGAATACTAAGTATTTTGATCAACAATTTTTTCTCACTTTTCTCACCTTTTCCTTTGTGCTCTTTACACTCTAGGGAGTCTGTACCCTGGTGTGGTGATAAAGACTTTCATATATGCAAAAATAGTATGTTTTGACTATTTAATCCTCTGTTTAAGCTGTCTGAAGAATGTTATTAAGTTGTGGTAAAGCTTCCAGGACGTAAACACCATACTACCAGTAAATTCAGATCATCAGTTTGTTCCCCAAAAGCTCAAAGAACAAGTTAGTGAATAAAACAGTGTTTGGTCACTAAAGAAATGTTGGTATAAAAGTGAAAATCTGCCAATTCCACATCATCAGTTCTGCAGGTCTTAAAATGGTAACATGATGGTTCACTAAAAGAAAAAAATAACACTAGAATAGAAATTGTGATACCTCAAGGAAAATGCAGAAAAATAGATTCTAAATTCAGCTGGTATTATCTAGACAATCAAAATGCCCAGGGCTTTGGAGATTGCAGCAACCAACTTTAAGTTATTCAGCGTATATTACTGCAAAATGAGTATGTCTTAAGAATTCAAATACATTTTGCCATACTATGGAAATAAACATTTGGATTTCATCTTTTATAATACTACACAGATAGGCACAGATAGCTGCAGGGCAAACAGACTTAAACGCTTTTACAAGCCATAGTTCTACTGGGATAATTTTGAATTTTTATTGTATTGTTTCAGCAGTAAATAATTACCATTTTCAAGGTAAAAACTTTTTCTTTTTAACTAGATTCTTATCAAATTCTAAGAACTAAACTTTATATGTGGATTTGGAGCTTGTAAAAGCAGCATTACATGTAACTATGGAAGACATAAGCCTTTTATCTAAAGCCTCAGTTTGTTCATATTTATGCTTAAGAGATAGGAAAGTTTACTTGGGGAGAGTTTAATTTTTTATTCTCAGACTTTCAATACAGTGAATCTAACAAAAAGAAAGGTTGCCTCTTAGGAATTCCCATGATTTAATGAAAGTTATTAAACTTCACAGCTCAAAAAAAATTCATTATGCCATAATTAAGAAAACCGAGAATGCATGTAAACTAACATTCTTGGGAGCCATCTACTTACACAAAATTGAAGTGTTGTTTTGTCAAAAAAAAATCTTACCATTAGAGGAGGATACACAGATTAAAATCTAGTGACAGTGTCTACAGACACTTCATATTTTAAAAACTTTAAAGACCACCGCAAGGAACTATTGTTTCACCTTTTAACTCAAACAATATTATCCCACATCTAAATAAGCTAAAATTTTACACAGAGCATGTAAAGCCAGCAGTTCTCTGTGGCAAATACTACATGTGATCCACACGTTAATCTGTAGGAGGCTGTAAGATAAGCTTATGAGCACTCAAGACTCTGAACACCACCTTAAAACTATGCAGTACTTCCTATTCTACAAAGGCATAAATCTTTAAGCACATTTCTAGTCCAAATCAACAGTGCTATTATTATACTTTATTGCCAATAGGAAATTCCCCCTAAAAAAGAACCAAAAACCAACATTTCAATCAAAGAACCCCAAATTGGTTAATGCTCAAGGGCAAATCTAAGCAGCAAAGACACAGAAGACTGTACGCTTCACTTTTACAGATGGTCAACTGAGAACTAGGCTGATGCAAATTATCAGAATTGCGTAGGAAAATGCTATCCATACTGTAACCATTTGGTGGCTACTGAGACGAATTCATTCTGTAAGACCAACATATGGACATCATCTCAAAACAATGTATTCTCAAAATTAAATGTATTAATTATGGTAATACTGTAACGATCTTATTAGGATTATTAAAAACTATTTTTAAAGAGACACATTTGGAGTTCTTCCATTTATTTGTTAACATCACTTTTTTTTTTAAACCTGACAAAGACAACATTAATTGATAAGCTTGTTACATTGTGATGATGGCTAAGATAATTTTTATTGTGCCCTCTGTGCTTTCACTTGGGGCTTAAAAATGAATGTTACTTTATTGACCAACATTATAATTTTTCAACTTACTATACCTGTCTGCAATACCGTCTCAGGATCAACTGATGGAAGGAAGTTCAGATCTGTTGATCTTGAATAAAGTAACAAACACATTATTATTAATAATAGTAAACTTAATAATTAAAGTAACAAACACATTATTAATAATTTCTATTGCAGTAGCACTAATACTTCAACTAAGGCCAGTGCTACCTGATGCTGTTAAGAGACTGTATGTTTCTTTCCTTACTCAGTAAAGTCCTCACTTTTTCAACTCATTGTATCAAAACAGAAGTGCAGCTGCATGTAGTTAACAGCCGAATGAGCATCCATCTACACACACACAGATGAATTTTGTAGTCTATATTATAAACTTTCAGAATTTTGTTACACATTTCAAAATATTTAAGACATCATATTTTCAATATTGTTTGGATTACCAATGAAATTTTCTGATCCAAAAGCATTGCTTTCAAGAAGCGAACCACACACCTCTCTTTCTCTTGTTGAGTTCCTTTATCACTTCCATTGTTAATTAGAGCAAGCTCATCCAGTAAGGATGTTGATTCTTTCGTGAACTTTTCAAATACCTAAATAAGAGGCAGATTTTAATTTAAGAAATGAAAATTATGTAAGTGGCAGTATCGAAGGCATCAGTGCAAATCTATCCACTAGTTCTGTTAGTAAACTTCGATCTTTATGTAGTGTAATTACTTCACACATTCAGATGGTAGGGTAGAAAGAGTAGAAAATATAAAGTTTTGTTCAGGGAACACTTAAGAGCACTAAGATTCCCTAGGGAGATAGTAAATGCTACACTGAATATAACAAAGATGGACTGAATTCTGACATACTGAAAGATTTTGAGATTTCTGCAAAACCTGTAAGTTCTTACGGACATATTTATTCTACATCTTCATTTAAGCCTTGAAGTAAATGTTAAGAATAATGCTAGAGCATCAAGGCGTGTTACACAAGCATCTGACAGCTCACTTGAATGGATTAAAATAATCAACTTTGCGAGGACTCCAGCTTTTTTAATCATTACTAATATGGGCTATATGGTAATGAATAACTAAGATAAAAGAAAGATGTATTATACAGAAAGAAATACCCTCAGTTTCTTTGAATATAGGGGCTTCTGATCTCAGATAACAAGGCCTGTACAGTCAGTCACTGGGTACCATTCAGATGATTCCTCTGTACCTGACTGCTGAGGGTTGTTTTTTGTTGTGCTTTTTTTTTTTTTTTTTTTGTTTTTGTTTTTTTTTTTTTTTTTTTTGGTAAAACAGGACTGAGCACGATCATGTGTCATAGGTGACACGCACAATAACTTTCAGGTCTCTTTGGTGTTAATAAATTATTAACCAATAGCCAGCAGATGAACCTTCCTTAACCTATCTAGGACTACTTAAACTTCAGGGAAAACCAAAAAGGACATGAGGTGGACAGCTCTTAAAAGCCAATTTATAAGAGAGTGGTTTACAAAACACAAGCTAAATTCAGTTGTTACAAAAGGAAAAAAATCCATACAATTAAAATGTCTAAACAGTTGTAAACTATTTTTTGGCTAGTACCTTAAACAACCTTTCTGCCCTCATCTAGTTTCAGATTTCAGGAGTTGCAAAACAAGTGAAATAAGGCAAGAGAGAAGAGACAGGAAGCATTTCCTCCTTGTTTTGGATTTCTCCTATCAGCAGCCAGACAATTTCCCTTTATAGTGACTATATCATACACTCAGGCTCTTCTAGAGTGAGGGTCTACAAAAAAGCTTCATTAAGGAACTTGTTGGTTCAACAAATTGATTACATTAGCTCTTTACCATCCCTTGAGCAAATCCAGTTAGTCGTCATCATCATAAGACTATTCATGCATTTGAACTGCACAGCTACACATAAGACAATTTCTACATGCTTAGCAGTTCCTACACAAACAAAAATTCATGTCTCAAGAATGAGACATTTGAAAAAAGAACAGAAAACTAACCAGCCTCTTATTCAACCAATCCATGTGATCATAGGTGAGAGTTCCTCCAAAATCTTCTGTTAGTTGGCATGGTTCTATATATCGAGTCAGCTTGTTAGCAGATACTAATATAACCTGCAACAACAAAATAAATTCTAGGTACACTTGTAACACACTTATGTTTTATTTAAGTACCTGAGAAGTTGTGTTAAGTGTATCCAGAGGTACTGAGCAGATCTTTCAGTGATTCAGAGAAAGTGACCCTTTCACTGCTAAATGTTTAAATGAAGTATGGCATGTTGCAATTAACATGGGCCTAAAATAGACAGGTAATTTTGATATGCAGTGCATATCTCATGCATAATCCTGTAAGAGCATCATCTGTGCAACCATGTCTATTTACAATAGGAAAAAGAAGTATGTTTCTTGGATATCTGTTTTCTTGGTGGTAACTGATGCTTCTTAAGTTGTACACCACACAATCTATTTTTACTAAATATAGTACCAAGATATCATACTGCAAAGCACTTAGTATTTTTATCACACTCTTGCAATACTTCCAGTCCCAGAGGTGAGTTTGTGCCGTAAAAATTAAGTGCCTGCATTTACTGTGCAAATACGCTCAGCAAGAATTGGATCAACCACATTTTCCACAAGCAGTCAAATTCAAATCTTAGTATGCTTAAAAGTCCGACTCATTCGCCCAGGAGACAAATCTAGTTCATCAACTACTTCAGAAAATAAATAAAAACATGGGTCCACTGCTAGTGAGAAGAGTAAATTCTTCCCTTCATTTCTACATTCTAGAGGCTCCTGGCTGAGCCTCAGTCATATAAACCTAAACCAAAAGTTGGCAGCACAGGTTGCTTTGATGCATGATATGCTAAGCCTGGAATAACTCCTGTGGGGGAAAAAAACCCCACCTCTCTAAGGAAGCAAAGATATTGGGAATATATAGCCAGAAAGAAAAAAACTGGAGAGAATTTTGGGAACCCATCAGATCATGCACATATTCTTGCAGGGGACAAGAATACATGGAAAGAGCCAACCAGAAAGAGCCTTCTACTTTAGTCCAGCTCCGTGTTCCCACAGACACTGGAAAACAGAAAAAACATCCTAAACTTACAGGTTTTCTCCTTACAATTTCCTCAAGGCTTTTGTCTTCCACTGCTTCAGGATAGTTCAGACCTTTTTAGGTCACTAAACCAATCTGTCATACCAAATCATTGATGAAAATACTATGTTTCTGAGACGGGTTTTGAGATCAAAAGCCATTCAAGTCAACAGCCATAGGTCATCTTTAAAAACTGAAAGTAGAGGTTGCACAGTCTCCATCCTTGGAAATTTTTCAAGGCCCAAATGGATAAAGCCTTGAGTAACCTGGTCTAATCTCACAGATGATCCTGCCTCAAGCAGGAAGTTGGACTAGAGACCTCCTGATGTCCCTTCCAGTTGGAATTACTCTGTGATTTTTCAATTCTTGTAACTAAAGAATCCAGAGTAGTGCCAAACAAATGGTGTAATATTTAATGTATGGGAACATCTTCCAACAACATTCAGCAAATACATGCTGTTCTCCTGTATTTTTAATGATATGTAGCTCCTGTAAATATTAGCTTGTAGTTACTTTAAGTAATGCCAGTAACCAGCACAAACCCCAGATGACTCTAGGTCCAAGAAAAATAAAGCCTTTGTTCTTCCTTCTTTAGGCACATATTTACATTTTAGGTCATTTCTACACTCTCTTTTCATCTCTATGAGTTCATAAAAAAGGAGAAAACTAATTTACTCATCAGGACATTTTGGTATGGAAACTAAAGTAAATAGGGCAGCTGGTTCACCTCACTGAAATAGCAGTTCTAAAAAAAACCAAATAGCCTGAAGAAAAGTATGGACTGCATTGAGACCACTTATTTCTGATTTTTTTAACTGAGATCCTTCAAGAAGGAGAGCGGGCAAGGGATATGCTTTACAAACTTGTACCAGAGAAACATTTAAATTTTTTTTCCCACCCTGCAAAGCAAAACCTGCCTGTAACAAATATATTGCCTACATAAGAAAATAATCCCCTGACAAAAAAACCCACCCCACATGTGAGATTTGGTCAAAGAATATACATTTCTTTTGCACCTTATTAGAAAAATTTTGAAAAAGACGACCTTCCACCTCAATAGTAAGCCTTGTCGTAACTTAAGATGTCGCTCCAAAAGCCATTCATTCTCTAGGGTTTTTTTTTAAAACTGTTTGTTTCTTAAACTGTTTATTGACTGTTCACTGACTAACTGCAAAAATCCTGTCTGAAGACTAAAAAGTAAACAAACATTTGAATTTTTGACAAGGTGGTGGCAGAAGGGAGGTTCCTGAACAGAATTCAGCTCTTGTTCTAGACCTAGACTAGTAGCAGTGCTAATGAAAACACCCTCCATATGCTTTAAATTAGTAACTTTGATATTCGAGGTGTTAAAAGTGCAATTTGCCTCTCTGAAGCTTCTGAAATACTGTTTTAATCAGTTACTACAGATTAACAGTCCATAAGAACATAGACTGAGAGCCAAAGAAAAAAAAAATGTTGAAAAACAGTAGTTGTGACGTTGCACCAGGAGAAGATAAGACACTTCTCTCAAAGATACGAATTTTACCTTAAGTTCAGCACCTATAGTTTTTGCTGTCACAGATTCCTAGAACTTTTCAAAAATCCAATCACAGTAATTGTCTTTGACCTTTTGTGAAAATAATTGTCAAACTACCACATCCTGAAACAAGTTCTCCTTTATGAATTAGCTTTCCACCTTTGCATTTGAATTTCACACTTCAACGTATTTTCTGTTGTGCTTCACAAAGCTTTTAGTCACACAGGCTCTTCAAAATCATCAATAGTTTAATACTTTGTTAAGGGCATACTTAGAATGATTTGTCATCCTTCCCTCTAAAATAATCATTACCAAACTGCACTAGACCACTAACCACAGAGAACATGTTTAGCTTCTCCTCCCTCTGTGAAGAGAATGATGATGGCTTTCTATTGCTTGACCAGCTCTCAATACTCCTGGATAAGATACAGGTACAAAAGAGCTTTTACAGTTATGAAAACAGAAATATCTCACTGTTTGCTTGCAACTGGACTGATTTTTTTTTTTCAATGTCATCTTATTAAGTTGACTCCAGGGGAAAACAAAAAAAAAAAAAAAAAAAAAAGAAAAAATCAATCAATCTTTTCTTAATCCAAAGTAAAAGCCTTTGGACAGCAGACCATAGTTGGATGTTAAAGTGAACAGGTTAAATTTCCTAAGGGAGAAATGAATAGATATGGACAGATGGTAAGACAGAAAAAAAGTATGAATTATTGAATCCTTAAATCTTTGCTTCCCTTTCCACTTGATCCACCGACTTCCGAAAAGAGTGACAGCTAATAAGGTGACACTGGTAGTAGGTTTCAAATATGTCCTGTTTGCTACTGACCAGAGTCCCTATCATCATCATCTGTACTCAGTTCTTTGTAAAATCTAGAAGAGTGGTAGCAGCTCTCATCACTGCTCTAATCGGCAAACTTGCTTTGTACAATATTGGCCTGCAAAAACATTGCAAAAGCCTTTGCAGAAATAAACTCAGAACATTGCTTTGGGAGACGTAAAAGTGCTGTATTTTTTAATAAAATCAACCTCTTTAAGAACTGTCAAACAAACAAACCAACCCACATATGTACTGCAAAGTCTTGTGCTTCAACTGCAAAATTCCCCTTATTTCTCTGGAGTGAGATAACACTTATTTTTTCTAAATATGTAGTAACATGATTTTCACCCAAAGTGGCACTCTTAACACTGCCACTAGCACTGATCTTTCATAACAAAAGAACTTGGAATACTGTTTGTACAAAGCCGACCCCTCTCTCTATGTCATTTGCTGTTTTTTGCAATTATTTTCATTGATCATTGGCAATGAGATAGAGGCAGATGTCAAGTCAGAGGGAAATTCTGGATATTCAATAGGACATGTAAAAGTGCCCCCAAGATGTTAAAAACATCCATCTGGACTTACTTTCTGGAGGGAAGAAATGAGAAAGCTCTTTAATACAAATGTCAAACTCAGGAGGATACTTTCAGTATCAAGGCTTCTCCCCCGCCCCCCGAAGTCTGTAATACCACAGCAACCACGCTACTGAACCTAAAAAGGAGTTACTTTCCAAAAGAACACAACATACATGTCCCTTGAAAATACAAAATTTAAGCAAGTGAAATCTAAGCATATCATCTTCTGAGAGAAGTAAATATCTATATTAATCTTCATAGCTTGGTATCAATGAGCAATATATTCCAGTTCTGGGATAACTTAAGAAAATTATCTAAATAAATTGGACGGTAATATTCTACATATATTATCAGAGGAAAATCTTTATACCGGGAAATAGGTATAGAAGCACTGTAAGGGGACAAAAACCTATTTTTAGTCTCAGGAGTAAAAAGTCTTAAAAATCAGGCTTAGTTTAAAAGAATAATTGGTGTCATCTCTTAGAAAAACATTTATTATTAACTGACATTTACACAACATTGTAAACCCAAAAATACACTGAATTTCACAGAACAAAGCCAATCCTGACAAAATCACTTATGAAAATGGAGAAAATAATTCATTACATACACAAATCTATACTGCTTATAATTTGTTCGTCTGGTTTTGTTTTTTTGTTTGTTTCAGGGTTTTTTTGTTTGGTTGGTTGGTTATTTTACACTTCAAGCAACCTAATATCCAACAACCAAAAGGTCTAACTAAGTTCACAATTCTTTGCAAAGAATTCTTACCAGGTGTGCCCAACCTACTGAGAAGCTTATACGGGCTGTAAGTGCATTACCAACACATGCCACAGTTTCTCACTTATTTTGAGTAACTCCCATGATTGTGCGGGTACCAAGTGACACCAGTATGAAATTAGATGCATCTTTAGAAAAAGATTCTAAGGATAATAGAATGTGTATATTATACACAGTATTAGCTGTTTAATGTTCTGCAAAAGTGATAGAAATGCAACTAATGGCAAGAACATTTATGCATACAATTATATAGATAATGTTCAAATTATGTTCCAATTTGTTACATTGCGATGTAACTGACTACAAATGTAGCTACTCTAAGAGTATATT